CTTTCTTCTTTTTTTTTTTTAATCCATTTAATTCCTACTCTTTTTTCAAAGCAGCCTAATTGCACATCCTCCACAATGACTCCCAGGTTTATTCATCCAATAAACATTTACTGGCTGCATCCATGTGCCAGGAACTGTACAAAATGCCAGGGCTAGAGTGAACATGGTGAAACCCATCTGAATCAGATGTCCTGTAGCAACCAGCACCATGTTTACGGTAGCACTTACCTCAGTTAGTGGTCCCCTGTCAGGCTGCAGATAAACTCTGTGAGCAGAAAGCACAGCTTATTTAGTTCTGTGCTGTGCACAGCGACTGACTGCGCCATGAATATTTTACATCAAGCCCGACAAGCTATTTATGCATTTTTGTTGTATTTCACTTATCTGGTTAACCCTGACATGATAGCTGTCTCTTTCACGAGTATTTACATTTTTATGTAGACCTATCTAAAATGAAATGAAAATAAGCTTGTTGAAAATAATTGCAGTTTTGAAAGTATCCACTTTGCAGGTGATTCACCCCTCAAGAGCACACACACTCTGTAATCCCTGATCTAATTCCCTCAAAAAGGTGCCAACTGTACTCTCAAGACCCTCACTTCATTTCCTCACCTGCCAAAAAGAAAGTTGTAAGTGAAAAGCAAACTACCCCGTGCAGATACATTCCCTTCTTTTTCATCACTTTAAATATCAAACGACTCCAAATAAAATTTACTATGCTGTGCCAAAACGGTGCCTTTCATTAACTTGCCAGTGTGTGTTGCTTTTCTTTTCTTACTGAAATTTACAACAGCAAGGCCAAGCTTGCACTTGCTGAGCATTGCCTGTTACTAAGGAAACTCCTCAGATAACAGAAGCTCCCTTGGAACGCCAATTTCTTTCTTAACAACTTCCCCTCTCAACTTGTACACATTGGATATTTTCAGCCATCACGTACATGGTACCATTTGCTTCAAACTGGTCCCAGATGATCATGATTCTGCTGCTCTTTTGACACACTAACTCCTTTTCTTTCCAATTCTCTGTGCTGTTAGACTGTACTCATCATCTATACTTCCTGTACAATTTCCTGAGAGACAAGGGACAGGGAACATCTTTTCTGTAGAGTATATGAACAAATAGGACTTTGCCACTTATAAACACACTTAATGTCGTGATGACCCAGGGTGTTGCAGTCTGACTGCTGAAAAAGTGGGGCATAGTCGTTTTATCTTTTCCTCTACAAACAACAAATAGTAAATATCTAAAGAGTATTTTTAGAAGCACACGTTTTAGGAAGTCTAACATCCACTCCTTTTATGTAAAGACCTCTAAATAGGCCCTTTCAGATTTCCAAGTGTTATGAATGTGGGTTGTAATCCAGACTCTCCAGGTTCAGTGGCTTAGAACCAAAACCACTTACATCTCTCTCATGTATAGTCTAAAAGCTGAGTGTCCCAGGTTCATGGGCAACTCCACTCTGCAGAGGCATTCAGGGACCTGGGTTCCTTCCCCGCTGAGGCTCTGCCATCCAGTGAGCCCTGTGCATTTACCTGCATGGCTGGAGAGGGGCCACACCTTCTCTGGGTTCCAACTGGTGGGAAACGGAGAGGTGTAGGGGACCTGTGATGGTACATACCCTTTGGTTTCCATCTCTTGGTGAGAATTAGTCACTTGGCCACATGTGACAGCAAGAGGGGCTTGGGAATGTAGTCCCCAGCGAGGCAGCTAGGTGCCCAGCCACAGCTCTATATTTATGCCACAGAAGATGCTGGTGGACAACTAGCAGTATTTAGTAAAAAAATATATTTTCTTTCTTTTTTTTTAAATTAATTTATTTTTGGCTGCATTGGGTCTTCGTTGCCGCGCGTGGGCTTTCTCTAGTTGCGGCGAGCGGTGGCTACTCTCCGTTGTGGTGCGCAGGCTTCTCATTTGCGGTGGCTTCTCTTGTTGCGGAGCATGGGCTCTAGGCGCGTGGGCTTCAGCACTTGCAGCATGCGGGCTCAGTAGTTGTGGCTCGCAGGCTTAGCTGCTCCGTGGCATGTGGGATCTTCCCAGACCAGGGCTCGAACCCGCGCACGCTGCATTGGCAGGCGGATTCTTAACCACTGCGTCACCAGGAAGTCCCTCTTATTTTTTTCTACTTTATGGAAGCACTGTGAAACTGCTATACAATTATTTTAAGCAAATCCAATAGGAAAAAAAATCAGATTTACATTAAAATGTTAAAGAACTATATTTATTTTAAAACTGAAATAGACCTGAGAGATCATTTGGTTATTAGACAATTTGCCCACAGCAGCTGTTATTTCACTGACTTGTTTACTATCAGTCCTCCCCAGGAGGGCAGGGACTTTTATTCATTGCTGATCCCAGCAGCTAGAGCAGTTCCTGACACATAGAAAGTGTTAATAAATCTTTGTTGAAAGAATAAATAGATGGAACTGAAACGGTCCAAAATGTAGTGATTTTAAATTATTTTGTGACTTTATATCCATCTCTGCTGAGTTACCAGGGATGGGAGGAAAATTTCTGAGGTTCTAACAAGTTTCTTCCATGTATACGTATAAAGAGTATAAAGTCTAACTGCTAGCCAAAGTACAAAAGTACAAAGAAAATCTGGACAAGCTCTGAATGACTCTTGGTGTTCATACTTCTATCCCAAAGAGAAAGCTACGAGTCTGACTTACGTTGTGCCTCAGATTATTTTTTTTAACCAAAGTACTGTCTTAAACTTGACTCCCAGATGTGAAAAGCACATGGTGACATTCAAATAGCTGCAAAATGAAGTACCTTAATTTGCTGAGAGATATTAAATGGTCTATGATCAAGACCCAGCCTACTTTTTTCCTCCGAAGACAAAAATCAAACATTTTTCTCCCATTAAAACCAAAAGAATAATTCAAATTAGACAGTCCTGTCACTTGTGAATTGGAAGTAAATTCTTATTTTAGAGTGGGAAATTCACTCCACTGAATATAGTAGTAAATATTATTAAAATAAATTCAGTGACCTTTTTAAAAAAGATTATAAAATTGAATTTATTGAGTTTCACACAAGATGCACTTATAAAATTAGTACTGAATGCCATTTTAACAGAAGAAATGAACATTATTCCAAACTCCCAATATATTCTGCCAAAAAAAGATCTTTCAAAAATGACAGCACAGTAACAGAGTAATTCAAGGGAACTGAAAGATATACCCAAATCATATTTTTGCTCTGATCAGGGCTATGTTTGGCAAAGTTATCCTCAAACTTATTCCCATTCCTCACGGACACTGTTCCTTATGTTGGTGAAGAGAAGATGGAAAAAAGAATAATAATCCTAAAACGGGCCTTCACTGAAACATACACAAAACAATTTAAAGTCTTTCATCTTTAAGTTAAAATAATTCCTGGTTTCACAAAAGCGTTTCTGTACAGTTTTCTTTTTTACCCTACATAAACGTTAATTTCAATTTCTTTAGCTTTAATGTAAAACATTAAGATCCACTTTTGTTTTTCAGAGGAACAAGCCAAAGCATTAAAGCTTGCTTTTTCACATTTCACCCAGGAAACAGACAAATCAGCTAAAATGTACCTTCTGCACCTCACATGCTGGAAATATCAGCACAAGAGCTGAACTTTAAAATGAAACCATCAAAGGAAGTTAACGGTTAACACCTGGACATTCTGAAATTAGACCCTGTAAAATTTTTATAAAAGTGCAGAAAGGTTCCTCAAGGTAAAATGTGGTGGAAAATAACCTGTCCTATGACGTGGGCCACAAACTGGTAATTAAGCACAAACGGAATACTGATCTCAAACAAAACCAAAAAGCACCTTTTGGCCGCTGTTCCCAACATCCCCGCACAAACACCTGTCCACACCCAGGCAGCCACCTGAACGCCCTGAACACCCCACTTCCCTTCCCCCACACAGCCTGCCCAGCCCAGCACAGGCGCACGTGACAGCCACACCTCCCCACACAACACAGGCCCGCCCAGGCCCAGGCACACAGACAGACCCACCCATGCACTCCAGAAGCCGGAGCAAGATGCTGCCCCATCCGCTAGAAGATGGACTTCAAAACTGTTGCTTGGAAAACCCACTTGAAGTCGACACCTCTGAATTTTGTATACTGACAGTTCTTCAGCCTGTTCAACACCAAATCCTTTTAACTGTAACAGTTTAGGAAGCAATTAATTAGTTTAAAGTGAAACCAGTTAACTACACGTGAAAGTTAACACTGCTCCGCTTTCTCAGCATAAAAAGTGCCTTTCTGTAAGGGAATTCCTATTTTATCCACTGCAGTGAAACAATACACAGCTCACGTTTTGCTGTAAAGAGTAAACTGAAAAATTATGAAACATTTTCTCAGTGATGCATAACCTTCATTAATTAATATTTTTAAAATAAACTGGCTTAGGGTCTTTTTTTTTTCCTCTATAAAGTGCTACTATTCATCATGTCTTATTTAAGGTAGCTTTTTATTCTGATTAATTCAGGTACATCTTCAAAGATTATTCTGGTGGTAAGAACACTTGACTTAAGTTTAATTATTATTATTATTTTTAATGGTTTGGCAGATGAAGTGACGTTTGAAAACTGTGGAAACAGTGAGGCTGGAAAGGGAGCATCGTGCTAAGAGCTTCACAGTTTTCCAGGTATATCCTTATACTGAAGAGGACTCACATCAAAATCCGATCTTCTGGAAGCACAGATTGACAAAGCAAAAGTGATGTCCGTGTTGCTCCTGTCAGGCCCAGAGAGATTCTGCTGCTTTGCCAAGCAGGAGGAACTTTTCCTAATCCGTCAAGTTTTCCAAGGAGTCAAGGCTGGAGGTCACTGTTGGCGGACTCACGTGACCTGACCTTCAGCCAGAGCACATCACTGGAAGGACACTAAGAATTGCTTTCCATTAATAATTTAAGTTCTTAAATAAATATTTAAGTGCCATTTTCAGCATCTGTCCATCCTGGTAGCACAGCATCTGCTGCCCCGGGACGCTGTATCTTTGGCACACGCAGCTACAGAAATCAGTCAATTCGGTTTCCACAAATTGTGAACCTGTCTATCTCTAACAAATCTTTCTTTGAGGATCTGTGTTTTAATTCAGAGTTTTCTTGCGTTATGTCCTTCTCGTCACCATCTGGAGTTGTCAGGAACTGATCAGAATTGCTTGTCACAAGTAGTGGTATGACATTTTCCTTTTGATGAAGAGGCTGGCTGGTGACTGAAGCAGACAGGTTTTCTTCTGTGGAAAAACAGATTCATTTATTTAGAAAAGGGTTTCCCCCCAACTTATAATAACCACAAGCTTACCAATATAGTGGTATTGAAAAGAAATGTTGATTATCCATGCTTTTGGATAAAGCAAATAATAGTCAAATAGCATGTTGTATAAGCCCCAGAGTTTATAATGAAACTTAGAGGCTACACTATTTGTTTCCTCATCCAAAATTTTATATAAAAGGTATTATGTGGATCATGTCACACAAGTAACACTGTTACCTGATTCTGGAAAGATCAGAACTCCTATGTAACAACCCTCCTCCTATAAAACCAATAATAAGATTGTTGCCAGAGCTGAAAAATTAACATTGTTTCCTAAACTCAGGACATCAGGGCTAAGTAGACTCTAATCCATTCCACCTCTTATGTGTAGTCACATTAGACACAGTCAGCATTTCGTGTCCAGGAAGTCCAAATCAGAAGTAAAAACAAATCAATGGACAAAACCTCTAATGTGTATTTTGGGCCATGGCGATCCTGAGCCTGGCCTGAGGAGCAGTGGTCTGGGGGCCTGGACCCACCAATCTCTGAATCATACATTCAGTCCTTATAAGAGCAGCTTCACCAGGTAAGGATGACATACCACAAATGGTACATATTTAAAATGGATAATCTGATGAGTGTTGACACATATATACACCTGTTGAAACCACTGCCACGGTTGAGACAATGAATACATTCATCTCTCTTGGTCGTCCCTCCCTCCTGCTGTCCTTTGCTTCTTTTGGAACATGATGGACTCTATGCTGTCTTGACAGCCAGCCCCTCTGTTCATATGCAAATCGGGCCCGAGCTGCCCGACTTGCAATATCTTCCTGAATGGTCTCAGGCCAGTGGTCTCCTGACCTCCAAAACATCCTGACCAGACACAAAGGCACTCGCCCAAAATGCACTTCTTAGTACAGGGCTCTGGATCCAGTGAACTTGAACTGCAGTGCGTGCTACAGGTTTTATCCCCCCTTCAACTGGAGGCTTCTTGAAAGCAAGACTGATGGTTATTAGTTTCTTACTGTGTTGAAGGAGCCTAGCCTAACAGAACACATATGGACCCATTATGAACTTTCCAGGTAGCTGAAGCGATTGCAATCCCATATCACCAATAGTACTTATGTGTTCTTTAAAATTAAAAATTATTTTCAAGTTAATCACAAGTTTCTGTTCTACTTTAAAAATAAAGCATACATGACGAGCATGGCTCTCTCTTCAGACTGGCCTCCGGCCCAGCTCTAGTCTCATCTCTTATTCCTTCCAGAACAAACCTGATGCCTGGAATACTGACCCACTAGTTCTCTTCTGTTTCAGGCCTCCACGATTCAGCCCACGCTGGTCCCTTTCCTGACGCACCCCGATCTTCACCTGGGCCTATTTCTTCTCACCCTTCAAGATTTAGTTCAGGCGTCACCACCTCCAGGAAGGGCCCCTCTCCTGTGCCCTCCAGGCCCCTGTCTATAACCTCACTCACCAATTTGGATTATCCACTTTTGTTGTCTCCCCTGTCAGTCTGTGAGGCGCTAAAGCATGATTTATTTACCTTTGTATCTCCAGCATCTCATATACTACCTGTCACACATATTGCCCCAGTTCTTCCTCCAAATCTTCCAGGCCAGAAGCCCTGGAATCATCCTCAACTCCTCTCCCACGGCACAACCTCACTGGCAAGCCCTGGGCCCCTACTAACCCACCCAGAATCTGGTGAGCCTGCCTGCTCACATGCTGACCCATGCACTGAGCCAGGCAGCTCCCCACTGGCCTCCACCTCTGCGCTCACTCTTCTTTTCTTTATTTAAATAAATTTATTTTATTTTGGGCTGCGTTGGGTCTTTGTTGCCGCACGCAGGCTTTCTCTAGTTGCGGTGAGCGGGGGCTACTCTTCCTTGCGATGCGTGGGCTTCTCACCGCGGTGGCCTCTCTTGTTGCGGAGCACGGGCTCTAGGCGCGTGGACTTCAGTAGCTGGGGCTAGTGGGCTCTAGAGCGCAGGCTCAGTAGTTGTGGCACACGGGCTTAGTTGCTCCACAGCATGTGGGATCTTCCCAGACCAGGGCTCGAACCCGTGTCCCCTGCATTGGCAGGTGGATTCTTAACCACTGTGCCACCAGGGAAGCTCTGGGCTCACCCTTCTTGAGGTTAATTTCCACAAAGACTGAAAACAGTCCTTTTAAGATGTCTGCTGGATCGTGTCACTCCTCTGCTCCAAGCCCTGCAACAACCCCTTCACACAGGAAAAGCTGAGATCCTCACGAGAGCCCACAGGATCCTGGGTGACCTGGAGCCCTGGGCAGCCTCTTGGACCCCCTTCCAGTCCCTCCTGATCCCGGGGGAGAGGCTGTCCCTTGACACGCCAAGCATGTTCCTGCCTGGGGCCTCTGGACACATGGCCTGTGCCTGGGAGGCTTCTCTGGAAGGCTCGGTCTCTGCCTGGATGCCGGCTCCTCACGGCTGGGGAGTGCCCCCAACTCCCACCACAGTCCCTCTCCTGAGTCTGCTTTAGTTTTCTCCACAGCACTTACAGCCACCTGCCATAGTGCACATCCACTCCCTCTCTCTCCCCGATGATCCAGCTCTGCCTGCCCCACTGCTGTATCCCTGCTGACACCTGTCAGGTAACAGATGTCCAATAATCATCTACCGAACAACCAACGAAGGAGTGAAAAAGCTCGGAGCACTGTGTTAGGGGCACCTGTGACGAGATCCACAGCATAAACATTAAAAATCAACAGCTAAGCAAAGTGAAATCCAATCTTGAAAGCATTGCTAAACATCGACTGAACAGTGATTTTTTTATTAAGTGGAGTTCAGACCATTAATTCATTATAGAATGATTCACAGAAGTGATAAAAAGAACCAAACCTACCTTGAGAGGGTTTACATTTATTTTGTGATTTACTGGATGGTTTGCTGGGAGCGCTGGTTGGGGGAGGGTTAAACAACTTTTCTTCCATTTTGGCTTCCTTCACGTACTGGCAGGATTTTCCCAACAGGACAATGCTGTTCAGTACTTTCAGAGATATCAACCTAAAACCGGAAAGAAATGACCAACTACTGTTGGAGTCCCTCTCAGTCACTGGGCAGGTAGAGGGGAGGGGGAGAGAGGATGACCCAGGCGCCGCAGGGCCCAGTTCCTTATGCAAAACCCGAGTTTCTGGAGGTTTCTTTACCACGGGGGAACATTTTTGAAAAACTCCTTAGTTCTCTTTATAAGAAGAAATTATACTTAGAAGTCTCACCTGGTTCTAAATTGACATTTATTCTTTTATTACAAAACAAATACATTTAGCAAATGCAGATGAAAAACAACAAAAACTTATAATGCCACACTCCAGTGCAAATCACTGTGACATCTGGTATATTATCCTTCAGTCATTTTTGCTCTGAATGTGCATCTATTCATACTTCTCACTGTCCAGAAATGGGGTCTCTTCAGAAGGCAGTAGGGGATTGGAGTTCAGAGAGAGTGCAGAGACTCCAGGGGCCAAGTGTCTGAGTTCGAATCCTGACTCCACTGCTCAGGACCTGTGTGGATCTGAGTGAATTTCCTAACAGGTTAATCCATGAAGAGGTGATTTCAGTAAGGTGCTCAGAACAGTGCTGAGCACACAGAAATGCCAACAAATTTTGTTATTTTATTACCATCGTTGTTGCTGACATGACAGTACATCATGAATATTCTCCAGAACCCCTGGTGTTCCTTAATGATGTTATCTTAATGGTCTCACAATGCTTCACTATATTGGTTATCATATAACAAAGCCCCTCAAAGCCCTTAATTTCTGGTTACTTAGGCTATTTCTAATATTTTGCTTCTATTAAAAAGTTTCTGGCTAGGAAAACTTACGTTAAATCTGTGTTTCCTTAAGATAAATTCCAAAATACATAATTACAGAAGTGGGATTTCTGGGCCAAAAGGTATATAAACTTTTTAGGCATCTGAAACAAATCTGGCAAAAATTCTGAAAAAAACTCTTCACACTGGTATCGTCACACAAATAGGGGCCCTTAAATGGCACAACACCAAGGACCTCACGGTCAGTTCTACAGTGAGTGAAGACGTGGGTGGCTATTTCTTAGGCCTGATACGAAATCCTGGTAGTGACACGGAACTACACATCAGTGAGGGGAAGTCCGAAGAGGGGCGTGGAAGGAGGTCAAACAAGAAGCAAACAGGCTTCCTTCACTCTCCCTGGCCTCCCCACTCCCTACTCTGGAGCACCGAGGGCCTCACATGGACCCAAGGCTGCAAGGACCTTCCACGTGCATGCGCCACTCTTCCAGGTTTGCCGCCAGCCCCAACTTCCCCCGCCCTCCTTACTCAGCCCTTCCACTGCTTCCTTGACACCACCAGGGGATGTCTAGTAGGATCTCAAGCTTACAAAACCCAAACAGGACTCTCGATTCCAGACCCAACCCTCCAAAATAACCAAGGTGAACCAGCCCCACGTGTCTGTCTTCACCGGCTTCCCCATCACAGTGGACGGCCAGCCCATCACCCTAACTGCCTGAGCCCCACACTCTGTGATCACACTTGATGCTTCGTGTTCCCTCTCGCCTCACATTCAGTCAATGCATCAGCAAGTCCTGTATATTTCCACCTTCAATGTATCCCTAGTTGATAGAATTTTAGCACTCACTGCCACCATTCAATTCCAGCTGTGGTCACCTTTCCTGGGAACGACTGGAACAGCTTCCTGACCTGGCCTGACTTGTGCTTCTCTCTTTGCTACACTCCAGTCCATTCTCTGCACAACAGCCAGAGCGGCCCTTGCAAAAAGCCAGATGGATCTAGCTCTCTTGTGCTCACAAGACTCCAGTGGTTCGCCTCTCTCAGAGCTGAAGCCCAGGCCCTTCCACGGGTCTGCTGGACTGCCGGCCATCCTTGCCCACGGTCTCTGCCTGGCAGGGTGGAGATAAACAAGGAATGATACTAAGAACTTCGGAGGGCAGTGTGAGCATTTGTGCCAGGGAAGGAGGATCTCACGTTTTTTAATGGCAGTAACTGACGAAAGTTACCTTAATACAGTAAAGCATTTCTATGTTCATTCAAACAGTAAATGGTATGCAATCCGATCAGAACCACATCTTGCTTTGGGCATCACTGACATTGGCCGCGTAGCCTGAACGCGGCACTGAGGGTGTAGAAAGTTTATTTGTAAGTCACATACTTGGTGGAGATGGTGAAAACTGACTGCTCCTGGGCTCCTGCGTCAGACACCTCTGGAGCACCTGCTGAGTCAGTTAGCAGGCAGACAGCAGTGTAGAAAACACACTCAAAACGTGGAACTGGAAATACCCAGATGTCTCTGGAAAGCAGACCTCGTCCCAGGGGCAGATTCTGGGTGAATCTCTGGCTGAGGTCACTACCGCTACGCTTATCCTCTCCTCACTTTCTCCTCTTGAGATACTCAGTTCTGACTGCCGCCCAGAGCACGGCTCCTGATGCGCCACCTCATGCGCCACTGCACGTTGAGCACAGGGACCTGGGATGGGGTCCCTTTCTTCTAAAGTAAGTAAACCTAAACCTAGGCGGGGCTACTTTATCATAAATTCACGTCGTGAAAAAACTAGCAGTGGCAAAAAATGCCTTTTTATATTATTTTCTTCATACTGCTTATTACTATCTTAAAGTATTTTAGTTGTTAATTTGTTACCCTTTGTCTTTCCCAACAAGATATAAGCCGCATGAGACCAACAAATCTTCAGATAAAAGTTTAACCAGTCACAGTCAGAGAAATGATACATTTCTGCATCTCCTTTGGGTTTATATGACATAGGCCTAGAGCATGCTAAATAATCAGTATGGCAAACATAGTAGAAACAAAGATTTTTTTAAAACATAGAACAATATCTGATTACAATGGCCGATTTTATCATAAAACATGGGTGAAACTTAAGTCCTAGGCAGAAAGGGCTTTAAATGATTTCACTAAAAGATTAAAATTAAATCTAAAGTGCTACTAATATTACTACCAAACAGCATATTTAATTTAACTAGAATTTAACTGAGTCACAAATACATTTGGAGATATATGCTGTCAAGGGAGACCCCCAAGACAGTTGGGATGGGCATATTGTTATGATTTAGCTGCTATTAACTTCCATCACATCTTGCATTTATACTTTACTGTATAATCAAAAACATATTCAAGAATGGTTACTCTTACCCGAAATAGAAGAGTATGACACAGGCATAAGACAGGATTCCTTGCACTTTAATTGAGCTTGTTACAACTCTGATGAGCTAGCCAGAAACAAACCAAAACAACAAAACACATAAACAAAACATACAAACAGAGTTATTAGTTAATATTTAAATAAAGATTTCTCCGTGTGTATTTTAACACTTTGGGCACATACCTGTGGCCTTTGTCTAAACTGAAGAAAGCAGTTCTAGTTTTGTTGATTCATATCAGAATCTGGCTGCTTGTGAAAGCTTCTGTGGTAGATTTGGATTCTTTAGACAAATCCAGGATGGCTGTGGCTAATGCCATGTTCAACTGCTGACTCTAAAGTCAGACACTATACCTAGCTCATGAATGACATGTTTACCTGTACTTATTAACAGAGATGCAAATCAGCTGACTTTTAACATAAAAATTATTCTGGAAGATACAAATGAATACATCTTGCCGCATGTGTCCCTACCAGAACTAGAAGCATTTAGTGGGCATTTCCCTCGCTCCTGCTTTTTCTGTCCTTTTTCCTTTGACTCTCTAAGAACCCCCAATGACTTGCAGGGGGAGAGAGAAAAGGGAACCTTAGAGGGTTTGTACTGTTAAAAAAACCTAAATACTATTACAAAATTAATTACTGAAAGGCCAGAAACGTTCTGCCTCCTTTGGATAGTTATGATTAAACACCTATTTTCTTACTTATCTCACAGAAACACAGGAGTAACAGCACTATCCTTGGAAGTTTGCTGAATAAATCTGGTGGGATCTGTTGCTGGAAAATGTTTACACATTATAGGTTCAACTTAATAATGAGCCCACATGTTAGGGTACAGGGGGACTGCTATGTGAAAATAGAAAATCAGGGAAAATAACTGACCTTATATAGTAATGTTATCATCAAATGGAAGTGTCTCTAAATAAATATCATAAGACACATTTTAAATGACATTTAAAAAATGCTTTTAATAGGGCTTCCCTGGTGGCACAGTGGTTGAGAGTCCACCTGCCGATGCAGGGGACACGGGTTCGTGCCCCAGTCCGGGAGGACCCCACATGCCGCGGAGAGGCTGGGCCCGTGAGCCATGGCCACTGGGCCTGAGCGTCTGGAGCCTGTGCTCCACAACGGGAGGGGCCGTGGCGGTAAGAGGCCCGCGTACCGCAAAAAAAAAAAAAAAAAGCTTTTAATAAAAGAGCAATTGGGAGGAGATAGACAGAATGGACTGCCATATATTCAATAAAATTTCACGATGAGGAAAGATATGGAAGTCGTCATCTCTGTCACAGTCTCTAATGGGGAAATGACCTGTTGTACAAACATTTGTGATGGAAAGTAACATGGTTCTAGAAGTTTATTCATTAATATGAAAGGCAAACCAACGATCATATTTAAGGCTTAAACGACTTCATTTTTACCCAGTATATTATTAAGTAACTTTAAGATACATGTGTCCCAAGTCCTATTTCCTTGAGACCTTAACATATGATTTATTTTACTTTTCTTGGATATGAATTCATTCTAGGACCAACGGTAACATTTAGAAGGAAACACTGCCACTCTTGGCCTTAATTAAAGCATTATCTTAGTTACTGAGGCCTCAGCTTATTCTTCAGGGCCCCAAGATTTCTGCCAAAGCTAGGGTGTCGCTCTGGCGCTCTGTGAGAAAAGCGCTGCAAAAGAAAACCTGCTGGATCCTTGCATAACTACGTAATCCCCTTGGAAACTACAGGAGGTTTCCCAGAAGTGTTCTGCTAATCAATTATTAATTAAACTTAAATCTTTTCGTATAACAACCATAAAAACTTATTTAAAGAGTAAAACAAAGACTGAATAAAAATCTAAAAAATCTACTAATTTAAAAAATTTATACTAATTATGAATCGAGTTTTCTGGCAAATAAGTTACTAGATAAATAATTATTATTTGGCAAAGCAGGGACACACTTAAATCCAACCACTTAACCAAACCTTAAAAAAAAAAAAAAGGCAACTTAGGTTTATTCTCACACTGTTGTATCCTTTTTCCAGTTGTAGAAAACAAATGTAGAAAAATTTTAAATTCTATTTCATCAATCTCTTAAACCTTTAACAAATAACTTCACTCTTGAAAAATTTTGTTTTTCCAAAATTCTAGGAGCTCCTTTTCCCAAGCAAAAGAAAGCCGAATTAGTTAGTACATAATAAAAACAAGCTCCTAATACAACTGAAAACATTTAGGATGTGGTTATTAGAAGAGTCCTGC